GGGAACCTGGCCGGCAACTCAGGTACATGCCCTGGCCAGGAATTGAACCAGGGACCTTTTGGTTTGTATTATGACACCCAACCAACTGAGCCATAGAAGTCAGGGCTCCATTTTACTTTCAAATAATTCTAGAAGCCAGTGAAACATACCAATGGAAATACTTACCGATGCATAGCTGATTATTTAGAGTTATCAAGACCTGAAGGAAAGAGGCCTGTTACATAAAGAGAAAGTGTCTTGGTTTTATATAAACATCTCCAAAGGCCCAAAATAATATTCAACTCAACAACTACTTAAATACTCTAAATATAACAAGTACTGTGTCAGGTATTATGGAAAAAGACAAAAAAAAAAAAGAAGGCAGATCTCTGAGGAGTTCTAGTATAAAGACACAAGATTTATTGATTTACTTAATCCTCAACTGAGGATGTGTTTACTGATTTTAGAGAGAGGGAAGGAGGGAGAGGGAAAGAGAGAGAAAGAGAAACATCAGTTGGTCACTTCCTGTATGTACTCCAACTGGGGATTGAATCCACAATATATATATATATATATATATATATATATATATATATATATATATATATATATATATATATATATATATACTGTGACCCAGAATCAAACTTGCCATCTTTTGGTGTATGGGATGATGCTCCAACCAACTCAGCTGCAGGCCAGGGTAAGACACAGGTTTATTAAACAAAACGACAGCCACAACAACTATAGAATGATCCCAAGACAAGACATGCTGGGTAGGTTGCAAGAATACAGTTACTGAAAAAGAAAGTGAGATAGGTATAATGGAGCAGTTGGTCAAAAGCTTTGAATGCCACATTGAAAATTCTAGATTTAAATCTATAGAAAACTATTTTACCTGGATCCCACTCCTTCCAAAAATTTCCTTGGATTTAATGATTCCTAGTTATTTTCTTGATCAACTAACATCAATAAATAATGTCAAATCTGGATAACTAATGTTCTATCTAGTTAAACCAGGAGATGTTCTGTGAAAAGTAAAATTAAACTTCTATAACATTACCTCAAGTAATTCTGAACACATGCCAAATACCCCCAACAGTCCCTAATAAACCCTTATTAAGCTACCCATTCAGCCCTGGCTGATGTGACTCAGTGGATTGAGTGCCAGCCTGAGAGCCAAAAGGTCACTGGTTTGATTCCCAGTCTAGGACACATTCCTGGATTTCAGGCCAAGTCCCCAGTTGGGGCTGTATGAGAAGCAACCAAATCTCTCTCACATTGATGTTTCTCTCCCTACCTTTACCCCTTCCTTCCCCTCTGTCTGAAAGTAAATAAATAAAAATTAAAAATCTTGAAAAATAAAATAAAATAAACTACCCATATATATTTTTCAAAATACTTCTTAAGCCTTAGAGTTTCAGTTTAGATTATCTTTTGCGGCAATTATTTGAATGAGATCCTACTCTAATTTGCCTCCTCCCCAAAATAATCTTTGAGGCATTAAAAGATATCTAATACCTAACATAGATTCTGGCTCCCAGCAGGCTTCTTATTTATTGACCTAAATGGTTAATTTACACTGGTATATTAACCTAAGCCATCTCTCTCATGGTTTAATAGACTTTGATTATATTCCTCCCTCAACCTTTCTCTCTCTAAACTGAAAAAAAATACAATTAGAAACTCCCTTCATCCCTTTGATTAATTTAATTGGGTTTCTGGGGACTTTTATCAGCTGTTAGGTTTTTTTAAGGAGCAACCACCAGAATTTCCTATATGATGGTGGATGTAAATCCACTTTTGGTCTTTTACATGAAAAAGATAAAAGGTTTTGTTTTGTCATGGTTTTCAACACCCTTCCTTATGATGCACACCATATTCTTGGCTTTGAGGACAACAATCAGAACTAGGCCAACTTCACAGAATGATCAACAGTGATTTTTTTCGCTCTTAACAATCATACTGTGTATTGTCTAACTCAGAGATTGGTGTTTCTCTTGAGATCATCTGAACTACCCAGATAAATGTACAGGTACTCCACTACTGCAGCTGAAGAAGAATTATAATTCCAGGTCTGAGTGACCAAAGCACTTTTTATCATAGCAACCGTGTTCCCACTGGGGAGGCTTTCCTATAACAATTTCCTTGGAGAACTTTGCTGATCTCTCTGTGTATCCTGACTGCTGTAATTTCCTTGTCTACTCTGTTTTTTAAAAGTTTTTAAATTGAGGTATGACAGATGTACATCTTCAGTGATTTCCATACATCCTCAGTAATTTCTAGATCCCTTTCTCGGGTCATAACTGAGACCATCATATCATAAGCATGGAGAGGTTTGAATAGCCTTTTACAATGACATACCTTTGACTGTTCTGCTCGTTTGATCTCATGGGATCATCCTGCAATTTATTCTCATCAGTTTGACTTTACTCCTTGCAGATAACTGGTGAAAAACCTGAATGTTCTGCCCATTGAAGAGTGTATTGATTTTATCTTTCTTCTTCTCCATGTAAGAGTTACTGTAACAGCATTTGTCTTTGTTGGAAAACTAAAATATAAAAATATGACCTATGTGTCAAATTCCACAAGGCTGTTTACTTCCTTATTTATGAACCAGAATCTGTCAGCACAACTTAAAATCTTGACTGTCAGCAGATACTGCAATTAAATGTCCCTGCAAAGCCAGCAGAGGGTGCACCAGGGCACTAGAAATTTTACCCAAAATGTAGCAATATCAATTTAACTCTCAAAGCCAATCAACTTTTTCTCTCTTTTTTTCTTTTTGGTACACTAAAGCTAATATTCTCAAGATAAACTTAAGTTTAATCTGGGCTGAAATTCCTTCAAAGCTTGTTCCAATTCTCCTAAAAGTGAAATTCAGGAAGAATATGGAATACATAGTTAAACTTAGTCTGGCCAAAATATAGATAGAGTATAAGAAAGTGATGCAGATCTGTGCTATGTACTTTGGAAAAATTCTACTGTGAAGATCTACCCACTGTCTCTGAAAAGGCTCCAGGAAGTAGTATGCTATAGGCAAATGGGCATTGAACTGGGAGTCAAGAGAGAAATTTCCATTCTAATTTTGACATAGTTGTATGACCTTGGCCAAGTCACTCCCCCCTCAGAGCCTATGTGTTTTCCAAGAGTATCAAACAAAGTGGACTCATGTGGCCACTCACAACTCTAAGAAAAACTCTGACTGCAATTGATGTCAGCAAATGTAAGGAGACAGTATGCATGCTTCTATTACTCAAAAACATTAGAACAGAAAAAATAGAAGACAGAAGACTGGGAGCTGTATTTAAACCCAGACAGAAGTATTTGCTGTGCCCTGCAAAGAATAGGCAACTAAATGCCATCATAGACCTGTGAAAATTCCACCCGATCACAGAAGCCCTCAAGTCCAGCTATCCTGCTAAACCTTAGTCTGTAAACATGGCTCTGTCCACTCTGAATGCCAAAGAGCCTTGGCCACCACTTCACTATAGAAGTTTGATTCCTTCATCTTTTCACATAATATTAATGTTCAGTTGCTAGGTATTCTACTGGGCATTGGAGGGGGTGGTGGATAAAGGGAGCCAGAATCCTAGTTAATTATCATTTAGCTACAGAGTTTAAATTTCAAGTAAGAGAAGCGTGTCTACCGATTGTCTTATTTGATAAGTTGTTGTTGTATAAGTTGGTGTTTGCTAGCAAGACATTTTAAGGCTCGGGCAACTTTACAATACACATCGTAGAAAAATGTGTCAGTCCTAACATTATAGTATCATCATGAATGCAATGCCAGCTCTGGACGGGTGGTCAAAGTAGAGTAAATAATGTTTACAGAGTATGACAATGACCTGGATGTGGTAGTAAATACAGAATCTCTTGTTTCCTCATCTCAAAGAACTTGTTAGCACAACTTGCCCTTTTCTCCAAGAGGAACAAGTTCACTATTACTCCTCAACCACCACAAAAGGATTCTTGGATGATTCTCTTTAATTTCACGTAAGATAAAATTTGGAACTCAAGAGGATACTTACTTTAAGCGCACTAAACTTACTTGAATAAAGAGCTAGAAAGAGTAGAAAACAAACAGGAAAGCTAATAGTTTGCTAACAAGGACACAGACGCCATAAAGGCTGCAACCAAACCAAACCAAACCAAACCAAACCAAACCAAACCAAACCAAACTAAACAAAACAAAAAACTCTTGAGAGATTACTTCTGAGTAATTAATTATTCCATCAGCAGATTCCTGTTCTCCAGACAGTAACAGCAAGACACTTCACACCCGCCCTCTCCATCACACTCCCCCGAAACAGTCCGAACCAGCATGCAAAGGGTGAATTTTATTTCCATAGATTTTTTACATTGCTCTTCAGAAGTTGTCTATCAAGACAGCATATTTCTACCAGAATTCCTTAGGGGCGCTGATCCTCACTACAACAGCCAGGACAAGCAGTCTCAAATTGCAGGTAAGTGTGAACAAACCCACGTTCTGGTCAGCGCACAAGGACCCGTGAAGAAAACGCGATTAAAAGTTGTTTCAACGGGCGTGGAGCAGTTATTACAGCTGTTTACAGCTCCAACTCCAAATGAGAGCCTGCTAGTGCTGGCATCAGCTCTGGACACGGAAAAACAAGCACCGCGGGCAGCGAAGCTCACCCAGGAGCTGAAGGGCCAAGCTGCTGCTGTTAGTCCGCCAGAGGGGCAGCGCCCGCATCTCCACGCCGCAGCGGGGCCGGAGCGCAGCCAGCTTTCCCGGAGGCAGCCTGTAGCCGGGGGCAGCAGGGGTGGGCGGGAGCTCCCAAGTCCAGGGGTCCTGAGACAGTTTGGGTGACCTGGGCTGGGGACCAAGGACAACTGGCCCCGGGGCAACTTCTCTCCTGCCCATCCACTCCCTCCCTGGTCCTGCCCTCCAACTTGGCTCAAGGTGCTAGAGTCGCTCCAGGGCCCGGTGGGGGAGGGCCCCCGCCCTAACCATAAGGAGAGGGGGCCTCTACCGCCGCTGCCCCAACTAAGTGACTCACCTGGTGCCCGTCCTGGGACTCTGGTGGGAGAGTGGTTTCTCCGGGTTCTAGCGGCTGCTGCTGAAGTGACGGCTGCCTGAAGTGGCGGGTGATGGGACCGTCAGGGTCAAGGCCACCAGGGCTGCTCAGGGTGCCAGAGGTGCCAGGGGTGCCGGGGACACCAAGATGGGACTCAGCTCCCCGTTCCCGCCGCAACTCGGAGCGCAACTCTAGGTAGCAGCACAATGTCAGCAGGTGGAGGGCCAGCGAGAGGCCAAAGAAGCCCAGGAAGAGCCGGCAGCTGTTCCCCTCTCCCGCCCGGGCAGGGGCCCCGCGACAGCCGCAGCCCTGGCTCTCCCGCTCCCGCGGCGCTGCCGCGGTCAGGGGCTCCTTGCGCTCTACCTCGGGGTAGCCCATGGCCTCCGGAACGCCCACTGTCTGAGACCCGGGAGCCGCCGCGTCTGCCTCAGCCGTTCACGACCCCTGACAGGCGGCTACTGTCCTGCCATGGGCTGGGGGCTGCACGGACCCGTTCCTGCACAAGGAGGCTGGGCGGGACGGAGCAGGGAGAAGCCGACTGTGCAGCTCCACTCCGCCGAGGGGTGGGAAAGGGAGGAGGAGGGGCGGGAGAAAGGGGCGGCTCGGCCCGCCGAGGAAATCAGGGTGGAGGCCCAGGCCAACACCGCCCCATCCCTCAAACTGCTCCTGGGACGGCCAACCACCGGCCCGCCAAGCCTGGGAGCCCCGCCCCTTGGCGTTACACCCCGGGCCTCCAGCCGCAGGGCGGAGCCTGGGGGGTGTGTGGGTTCACCTCAGTCTGGTGACCCCACCCAGCTCTTCCCGCTTGCCCCATTTCAGTTGGTGATTGCCGCTGTCGTTCATCCCTGGACTCCGCCCCAATTTAACCCTTTAGCGCCAGTACAGGGAAGGGGATTAAAGAAGGGGGAGGCTGAGAAGAATTTGGGAACCTAAGAAAGTAGAGCAAGGAAAAGGAGGCAGGAACTAGTATTAATAGAAATGTTTGCAATTAACTGCAGTTGCTAATAACATCATCCAGTACTTATCTGTTGCTTTCAATCTTCAAAGCGTTTAACAGACGTTAAACTAATTAAAACAGTTCTGGGTTTGGAACGAAACCATGCCTGCTGTGTTTGCAATCCAATAGCGCGCCAAAAGAAAAGGAGACTCAGGAGCCAGGGAGCCAAAGGGGGTTAGAATGGGATGGAATGGAAGCAGCCCCACTCCTAGAGTGAGTCTGGGGCTTCAGTCTAAATGATGAAGAAGCCCACTTGTGCCAGGTGGAACTGAACTGCTGTTGTCCCACGCAGCGTAAAACAGTCCCCTAGGATCTTGATACACTAATATATATATATATATATATATATATATATATATATCCCTTTACAATGTAGAAAGTGCCGTATGAGAGAATCCACAGCCAATATAATTTCTCTCCTTCCACCACAGCAGGAGTTTTGAGTGGAGAACATGTGTCCCCAGTGAGCAAATGAGGAAACTGATGGCCAGGATGAGGTGGATTTTTACAAGGGTGGTCCACAGAATGGCCAGACAGTATTGGCATCTCTATTTGCAGGCAACTGTTCTGGCCTCTCCACCCCTCCCTCCTCTCCCTGGAGTAGTCCCTGGGGAAGGTTCAACAAGTCAGCCAAATGTTCCAGATGTACACTGCTGTGACTACAGCATCTTCGACAGCTGCACCAATCAGCAAAGGGTTCATAACCAAAAAGAAAAAAAGAAAAGAAAGAGTGGCAAATATCAGAACGACAGACCCTGAAGTGAAGGATGGAAAGGATTAGTTCAGTTGCCATTGACAAGAGTTACTAGTCTGAGATTATAGACAGTGAAATAACCATAGCAGAGGAAATACGTATGCTTCTTGGCCACTATGCACTCCCATTCCCATGTTATGAATAATTAGCAGTTTTATTGACTTGAAGAGGGTAGGCCTATGTGCTAGGCTGGATGGGGGAAAAATAGGAGAAATACAAAAAATGAGAAACAAGCAAACAAACAAACAAACAAAACCAACAAGAAACAAAGCATATAGTGGGGAGGTCAGTCCAGAGAGCACGGAGGTCAAAATGCTTAAATACATCAACCACAGCCAACTTTTCTTCAGACACTCTGTGAATGACCTTGGTGCCTTAGAAACATCTTTGTGTCCCTTCATTGACACTTACCCATGAAATACCAAGTTTGCATCTTTGCCATCATTATGCAGATAAAAACATTAAAAAGTGCATTTAACAGCCAATCTCAAGTGCTGCTTGTTCAGTCTGGGAGCAGACTGACCAGAACTGCCAGGGTGATTTACCTTAATTATCACAGCTCAGGACTATTAGAAAGAATGCTAGACTAAGAGTCAGTAGACCTGCCCCTGCCACCCGTTTGCTGGGTCACTCTGAGCAAGTCACTATGCTTTCTGGGACCTTTGTTTCTCCAATTGTAAAATGAGTAGTTTGAACTTTAACAGCTCTAACATTGTCTTTTGTCTGTTTCATCACTGACTGTGCTGACTTGGTCACATACACAGTTCAAAGAGACTGCCCCTTCTTCCCCTAAAATGAAGAGGAAGAAATAACAGCCATCTTCAGGTAGTAGTGTTCAGGGGCCTTACTGGATTCAGCTTTCCATGTTCTTTCTACCAGGCTTTTAACAGTTTAACTGAGACACTGGGTTACACCATTGCCCTGAGAAGGCCCAACAAGTTGCATTTGACCTGGGACCATACCAGGGCTCCCAGAGAAAAAAAACATGTGGCTTCATATACAGTAAAAATGCTGGGACATATAATCCAGTGAGAGATGGACATGGCTATTCTTTAAAGTGTTACTTGAAAAGTTACACGCCCTACCTGGTATGGCTCAGTGGATTGAGCACCAGTCTGCAAACTGGAAGGTTACATGTTTGATTCCTGGTCAGGGCACATGCCTGCATTGTGGGCCAAGTATCCAGTTAGGGGATATGTGAGAGGCAACCAATTGATCTCACACATGTTTCTCTCTTTCTTTTTCTCTTCCCCTTCCCCTCTCTCTATAAATAAGTAAGTAAATAAATAAATAAATAAATCTTTAAATTAAAAAAGTGTTACTTTTAGGACTTCCACCAAGATGGAGGTATAGGTGGAAGCACTGTATCTTCTCACACAACCAAGTTTAAAAACAACAAAGTTTTAACAATAAAAATGCAGCCAAACCACAGAAAATTGAACTATATGGAAGTCTGACAACAACGAACCCTTCAGCCAAACTGGCAAGAGGGGTGAAACCATCAGCGGAGTGGGGTCAGGCAGGAAAGATCCACCAGACTGACCCAGGCCAGCAACCCAGATGAGCAGGCAGCTGTGGGTGGATCCCAGGTGTGGAGTAGCAGGCAGACCCACTGAGGGCACAAGGCAGTGGACTCGAGGGCTGACCACAATCACACATTCGCACACAGATAAACCAGTGAAGGAGCGAGCAGTGAGACAAACTGTGAAGGCCCCAGTGGCAGGAAGCGGCAATGGGGACCACCATTGTCCCTCCCTGACCCCACCCCCACATACAGCGTCACAAACCAGTGACCTGGGTGGCCCCGCCCAGGTGAACACCTAAGGCTCTGCTCCTCATATGTAACAGGCACCAACAGAGCAAAACATGGCTCAAGAACAACTCAGAGCCCCAGAGCCAATAAATCTAACTGATGAAGAAATAGCCAAACTTCCAGATGCACAGTTCAAAACACTGGTGATCAGGATGCTCAGAGATGCTCAATCAACAGAACTGGTTGATTTTAGTCACAAATTAGAGGAACATATGAAGGCTAAACTAATGGAAATGAATGGAAATGCACAGGAAACCAATAGTAATGGAAAGGAAACTGGGACTCAAATCAAAGGAATGGACCAGAAAGAGGGGAAAAAAATGACCAAAAAGAAAAAGATGAAGAAACAAGAATTCAGAAAAATGAGGGGAGGCTGAGGAACCTCCAGGACATCTTTAAACATTCCAACATCCGAATTATAGGGGTACCAGAAGGGGAAGAGAAACAGCCATGAGTGGAAAACTTATTTGAACAAATAATAAAGGAGAATTTCCCCAATCTGGCAAAGGAAATAGAGTTCCAGGAAATCCAGGAAGCTCAGAGAGTCCCAAAGCAGGTGGACCCAAGAAGGAACACACCAAGGCACATCATCATTACATTAGCCAAGATTAAAATGAAACAGAGAATCCTAGAAGCAGCAAGAGATAAGGGGACTGTCACCTACAAGGGACTTCCCATCAGACTGTCAGCGGATTTCTCAAAAGAGACCTTACAGGCAAGAAGGGGCTGGAAAGAAGTATTCCAAGTCAGGAAATCCAAAGACCTATAACCAAGATTGCTCTATCCAGCAAAGCTTTCATTTAGAATGGAAGGACACCTAAAGTGCTTCTCAGATAAGATCAAGTTCAAGGAGTTCATCATCACCAAGCCCTTATTATAGGAAATGTTAAAGGGACTTACCTAAGAAAAAGAAGATAAAAAAGATGAACAGTGAAAGGACAGCAAACTCACAGTTATTAAGAACCACACCTAAAACAAAAGCAAACTAAGAGGACAGCTAGATCAGGAGTGAACCATAGAAAGGAAGATCTCATGAAGGGTTAGCAACAGGGGAGTGGGAGAAGGAGAAGGGGGGAGAAGGTACAGAAAATAAGTAGCATAGACAGTAGATAGAAAATAGATTGGGGGGCAAGAATAGCATGGGAAATATAGAATCTAAAGGACTTGAGACATGTGGTCATAAACTAAAGGGCGGGGAATGGTGGGGGAGGGGTGTACAGGGTGGAGGGGAATGAAGGGGGGAAATAGAACAAATGTAATGGCATAATCAATAAAATAAAAAGTTTTCAAAATGTTAAAAAATGTATGAAATTCCACATCAAAACATCAAATAAACAAATTAAGAAATGGGAAAAGGGCCTTGGCTGGTGTGGCTCAGTGGATTGAGTGCCAGGCTGCAAAGCAAAGGGTTGCCAGTTTGATTCCCAGTCAGGGGACATGCCTGGGTTGTGGGCCAGGTCCCCAGTAGGGGACACACCAGGGGCAGCCACATGTTGATGTTTCTCTTCCTCTCTTTCTCTCTCACTTCCACTCTCTCTACAAATAAATAAAATCTTAAAAAAAAAAGAAATGGGCAAAGGAAGTGAATAGACACTTCTTCAAGCAGGACATACCGCTGGCCAAGAGGTATATTAAAAAAAACAGCTAATCAACAGTAAAAAAAAGTGTTACTTTTATGTGTTAAAAGTACACTTTTATGTGTACTTTTAAATGTTACAGTTAATTTTTATAATTCTGTAAGTACCCCATCCACTACAGCACAGGTCTCAAAATGACAGCCTCCAGGCCGCATTCACACAACAGATGTGTGTTTATTGGGTGCAGTATAAGGTAAAATTTGAGTTAAAAGTTAATTGCCAGCATTTAAAAATCAGAAAAGTTCACCTTTTAAAAAATATACAAATTTTCTGCTTCTCTGTTAAAATATATATATAAAAAAAAAAACAGGAAACATGCTGACTGGTGTGGCTCAGTTGGTTGGGCA